CTTCACTGGTGTATGGCCAACTTAACTTTGTGATGACTTTGCCTTATCCTCTTTAAAGGTTTATTTTTATTTTATTTTTTTTATTCCATTATGTATGGCAGTTCTATTACTAGAGCTTTATCCAACTTAAAAGCTTCCTAGTATCATGATATTTTTAGCAACTATTTTCTGAGTGACATTTTTGAAACTGGTTTTGATATTTGTTTTGTGTTGTTTGGAAATCTGCATGGAGCTAAGGAACTTGTGAGTCTTCATCACTATTGGCCACTGTGCCGATCAGAGGTCTGCATGGAGCTGGGGAACTCATGAGTCTTTATCACTACTGGCCCCTGTGTTGATCAGAGGTGTGCATGGAGCTGGGGAACATGTGAGTCATCATCACTACCGGCCTGTACGCTGATCAGAGGTCTGCATGGAGCTAAGGAACTTGTGAGTCTTCTTCACTACCGGCCTGTGCGCTGATCAGAGGTCTGCATGGAGCTGGGGAAAATGTGAGTCATCATCACTACTGACCCCTACACTGATCAGAGGTCTGCATGAAGATGGGGATCTTATAAGTCTTCATTACTACTGGCCCTGTGATAATCAGAGGTCTGCATAGAACTGTTGAACTTGTGAGTCTTCATCACTAATGGCCCCTGTGCAAATTAGAGGTCTGCATGGAGCTGGGGAACATGTGAGTTTTCATTGCCATCGGCCCTTGTGCTGAGCAGAGGTCTGCATGGAGCTGAGGAACTTGTGAGTCTTTTGTCACTACTGCCCCTGTGCTGATTAGAGGTCTACATAGATCAGATGTGTACATCTACTTTTTCACGCTCTCTACATTTCACACCCTCCACCTGCTCACAGCACATTTCTTCTAAATTTATCCATAGCATTGTGCATCTTTTTCCAAACCTCCGTTGATCCCCCCTTCCTGCACATCCTGGATCAAATTCATCTTTCTATGATCACAGTGCAGCATATCAACGCCAAACTAATCCCCCCCCCTCACAATGTACATTGCACCCTCTTCCCTTCTCACATTCAAGCAACATAAAACCCTTCCACCCCCACAGCATGACCTACCCACTCACACTATGATGTTCTACCACACAGGTGATATGGAGGAGCAACATTGTCACACTAGGGCAGGAAGAGTTTCAGAACTACAGGGCGATATGGTGTTCTGTAGAGAGCGATAGGATGATTGGCTACTGATAACAGTCATTAAAGGCAGAGAACACAGGACATTATCAGCTCACAAGATTTCTGCCAGGATCAACAGGTTGCTTTTGCATTTATTGAACAGATACAACAAAACTCAACAAAAGATATTTATTGTTATGGTTTTACATACATTTTGAATCCTCTAATAGCTAGTGAGCTGTAACTGCAATGGGGCAGGTTCAGGCATGGGCATTGCATCAAGTCTGCTCTAAAAGTCTAAAACAAGGTATTTCACAAAAATGGAAAGGTTTTGTTTAAAAAATGTTATGTTGATGGGGTAGGAAGGAACCAGCGAAGGCATAATATAGGTAGGCTAAACTATAACATTTCCATGGCACAAATACCTGTGACTGTTAAAGAGAGTGAAGGGAGCCGCCACCTAAGTGCAGTATTAAATGGGCTGGATTACAAAAAATTAAAAACACTTACAAGATGTGAAGTAATAAAAGGCTCTTCATGTACTGTAAACGTACAGCATCGGCAGCTCCTCTCCGTCCTGCAGGTACCGACAGCCAGGATCCTGACAGGTGGACTTCAATGAGACTCTTCACCCAGACAGAATCCCTCTGAAGAAGGATAGAAGCTGTGCTGGGTTGTATTCAGCATCTATACATTGTATGTTTCTGTATGCAGAGGAAACACCTCTTCCTGTGTGTGTATACGTTGTATATTTCTGTATACATTGTATATTTCTGTATACAGAAGAATTGTCTCTTCCTGTGTGTGTATACATTGTATATTTCTGTATACATTGTATATTTCTGTATGCAGAGGAAACGCCTCTTCCTGTGTGTGTATACATCGTATATTTCTGTATACAGAGGAATTGTCTCTTCCTGTGTGTGTATACATCGTATATTTCTGTATACAGAGGAATTGTCTCTTCCTGTGTGTGTATACATCGTATATTTCTGTATACAGAGGAATTGTCTCTTCCTGTGTGTGTATACATTGTATATTTCTGTATACATTGTATATTTCTGTATACAGAGGAAACGCCTCTTCCTGTGTGTGTATACGTTGTATATTTCTGTATACATTGTATATTTCTGTATACAGAGGAAATGTCTCTTCCTGTGTGTGTATACGTTGTATATTTCTGTATACATTGTATATTTCTGTATACAGAGGAAATGTCTCTTCCTGTGTGTGTATACATTGTATATTTCTGTATACAGAGGAATTGTCTCTTCCTGTGTGTGTATACAGCGTATATTTCTGTATACAGAGGAAAAGTCTCTTCCTGTGTGTGTATACATTGTATATTTCTGTATACAGAGGAAAAGTCTCTTCCTGTGTGTGTATACATTGTATATTTCTGTATACAGAGGAAACGCCTCTTCCTGTGTGTGTATACATTGTATATTTCTGTATACAGAGGAAACGCCTCTTCCTGTGTGTGTATACATTGTATATTTCTGTATACATTGTATATTTCTGTATACAGAGGAAACGTCTCTTCCTGTGTGTGTATACATTGTATATTTCTGTATACATTGTATATTTCTGGATACAGAGGAAACGCCTCTTCCTGTGTGTGTATACATTGTATATTTCTGTATACATTGTATATTTCTGGATACAGAGGAAACGCCTCTTCCTGTGTGTGCATACATTGTATATTTCTGTATACAGAGGAATTGTCTCTTCCTGTGTGTGTATACATTGTATATTTCTGTATACAGAGGAATTGTCTCTTCCTGTGTGTGTATACATTGTATATTTCTGGATACAGAGGAAACGCCTCTTCCTGTGTGTATACATTGTATATTTCTGTATACAGAGGAATTGTCTCTTCCTGTGTGTGTATACATTGTATATTTCTGTATACAGAGGAATTGTCTCTTCCTGTGTGTGTATACATTGTATATTTCTGTATACAGAGGAATTGTCTCTTCCTGTGTGTGTATACATTGTATATTTCTGGATACAGAGGAAACGCCTCTTCCTGTGTGTATACATTGTATATTTCTGTATACAGAGGAATTGTCTCTTCCTGTGTGTGTATACATTGTATATTTCTGTATACAGAGGAGGAAACACCTCTTCCTGTGTATATAAATTGTATATTTCTGTATACAGAGGAAACGCCTCTTCCTGTGTGTGTATACATCGTATATTTCTGTATACAGAGGAAACGCCTCTTCCTGTGTGTATACATTGTATATTTCTGTATACAGAGGAATTGTCTCTTCCTGTGTGTGTATATAAATTGTATATTTCTGTATACAGAGGAAACGCCTCTTCCTGTGTGTGTAAACATTGTTTATTTCTCTAGAGATCATCAGAGGGATTCTGTCCGGGTGGAGAGTCTCATTGAGGTCCACCTGTCAAGATTCTGGCTGGTGGTACCCGTGGGACAGAGAGGAGCGGCTGATGCTGTAGTTTTACATGAAGAGCCTTTTATTACATCACATCTTGTGAGTGTTTTTAACTTTTTGTGAATATACCAGCCCATTTAATACTGCACTTAGGTGGCGCCTCTCTCTTTATTCGTTTTACACAGAGCTGGCCATTCACTGAGGATAGCGGCCGCCGATGCACCTTTCATCCTTCATGAGAATTTATGAACTTTATGGACATTATTGGTCACTTGTTCACCCCAAATGTCTTTCCAGTGTATTCATATGTTTGCTGGACAGTTATCCTCTGTACGTCAGGCTATCCTTATCTTTGTGAATGTTAAGCTGCGAATTGCACTTGTCTAATGGTTAAGGCAGTTCGGATTTTAATAACCTGAAGGTCTGATAAAATACTCATAAAGCAATATATGGAGACACATATATTGTATGACTGATTTTAACCTGAGATCTCCAAGCTTTGTTTAGCCAACCAGAACTGCCAGCCTATTTGATCAGCTGCGCTCACAGCCCACTGCATCTAGACAATGGCAAACCAGCGCAGGTCATTAGCATTGCCTCCCCAATTCCCATGCTGCAGCCTTACTTTGTCCAGCAACATCACAATGGAGGCTTGCAGTGCTAAGCCTTTCCCAACCTCCCACAGTGACATATGTGGGAGAATCTATCACAGGTGGTGTGAAAGGAGTGGCAGGCAAGTAATCAGCAGGCCCAGAATAATGCATGTGCACCAAGCCCATCCAATTGCAAACAGATGAGTTGAAGCAAAAATAGACCATCATCTTTGACTGTTAGCTTTTATGCTCATATTTATTCATTTTAGGTTATTATATAGCGTGGTCAATTTACATAGCACTTTACATATATATTGTACATTCACACCAGTCCCTAACCCTGAAGGAGCCTACAATCTAAGGTCCCTAACTCTCATTTATACACACTAAGGCAAATTTAGACAGGAGCCAATTATTCTAATAGCATGTCTATGGAGTGTTGGAAAAAACCAGAGGAAATCTATGCAGGCACAGGGAGAACATGCAAAGTCCAGGCAGGTAGTGCTGAGGTTCGGATTGGAACCAATGACCCTAGTACTGTCCAGTTGGGGATGCCACACACTGATTGGAATTAGGTTGGTCCAGCTGGAACCGCAGAATTTTGAGCTGTGTATGCCCAGCTTAATCCATATACTTGTTCCAGATCAGTGACTGATAAGTGTCAACTAGCATTTTCAGAAAGGAAGGTCATCATTGTGTAGGCACTACTGTACACATTGCGGCACTGCTGTTAAGTCAGTTCCCATGCTGAGGCCTCCAGTAAAATTTTAAGCGATAGCAGCTTCAAGACCCTAGAAAGCTTCCCCCTGATTCTCTATATTTTTCGGTTTCCATACTCCATTCAGTCCTAGGGCCATGATGGGAATAATGTGCTTACACATTTACAAGAGTCTTCTCCTAGATCAGCAGTTCCAGGCCTAGTCTGCAGAGAGGGTCCTGCTGAATTATTGAGACCCATGGGAAATGTGGATCCAGGTTACCAGGCACATACACCCAAGGCAGGGGCGGACTGACAACTCATGGGGCCCCCGGGCAATAGGGGATCATGGGGCCCCTGTGTCCTTGCCCAAACTCAAACAAGCCTATGAAAAAGGTACCAGGGGCATCTCATGGGGCCCCCTACTGACCCCGGGCCCTCGGGCAGTGCCTGAGTTTCCAAATGGTCAGTCCGCCCCTGACCCAAGGTAATCTTTTCAACCATCACCAAGCCAGCAGACCCTCCTTACCAGTCCACCACCTATTCCCTTCCAGAACCAGTTGTATAGTTCACACTTCCCAGGTATTGGCTGTATTGTTAATCTCCCAGAATGGGAAACCAATAGAGTTTACACATATCTAGAGCAGAACTTTTAGGAAAGTTACAACATGGCACTACATTGTGGTTTGATGGATGAACATCCTTTCCAGGAAAACATGTCCAGCACTGCCACTCCAGTCTGCACTTCTTGCAGTTCTACTAACTACTTTACTCTCTCCACCCACTGCTTTGCTGTATTTCTCTTAGGGCTCATTCACAGGAGCCATGGATTTATTGCCCACCTAGACAAGGGCTTGCAGCCACTCAGGGCAGTACAAGTATCACTGCAAAAATGAAATGGAATGCAGCATTCACCAAGAGGTACCATCACCAATTGCAACCCATTCAAGTATGTGGCTGTGGCACGGTAAGTTGTCATTTTCATTGTTAAAACAGGCATTGTAGAGGCAACATTTGCCTCTTTACAGCCTGTCAAACACCTCTGAAAGGTGATCCACCGCAGATTGCTTTTTTGAAGAGCAGCAAGAGCTGCTGCACAGATGAACGATCACCTACTCAGCTAAGATGATGGACATGGGCCTCCTAGCAACCTATAGGTGGGACTACTCAATAAAAGAGTCCCTTTACAAATGTCATCCTCTATGTTTGTCTCATGGCAGGTCCATTATTGATGCATTTGGTTTATACTAACATTTCCTAAATTTGTGTTTTGCTAGCTTCAGAAGGACCTCACTGCAGAAGCTTCTGAGAGATGAAAGATTAAGCGTCTGACTGCCAAGTTCTTAGGTTGATATGCCCTGCCGATTGTCATCTCCACTTTATACTGAAGTCCTGTTAAAAAGTCCTGCTTTTCTTGCTTCTTTATCAATCATGTCATACAAATAAATATTTCAAGGTAAGAAAATGAAGGAGGATGTGGCAGGTAGGCAAAGTTGGGAACCAAGTGCATAGATCTGACTGCACAAGCACCCAAAAAAGATAGGAAGGCAATGGGTGAATCCATACACCAACAGTGGCCCATACCACAAATACCATTTTTGGGTGGATTTATCCAGAAGTCATCAGGAGAGAAATGACAGCAGAAATTATTAATTAACTTGAGCAATAAATTGTATACTGCCTTACTTTCATTAGTTTTTTTATTGAGAGAGGCTTTTAAAGTAAGAACTAACAACACTCCCTTGGATTCTAAGTAACTTAATATCAGGAGATATAATAATTGTAGGTATATTAATGACATCACACAGGCAAACAGGACTTTGGAAGACAGCTGTGTAACGGGCATTGTAATAATAATTGAATACGTTCATCCGGACATTTGCAAGTATCCGTGTAACACTGTTTATCGGTGGAGGAGGCGAAAAACAAATTAAATTGTCATGGCTACGAAAACAAACTTCAAACAATTCTTCAGGGTTGTGAATAGAGTTCAAGATGCTTGCTTGGTACCATGTGGCACTTGGGGCTTCAGAGGAAGGGATGTGTAACATGAAAGTTTCAACCGTATCCAAAGCCAGAACTAAAAGGTTAGAACCCCTGTCTTGTTTTTATTGACCCCCCTTTCCCCTCCCTTACTGTCTTTAGCAGGTATCATGCATTTTTTAAAAATTTTGTACCTGGTGATCCTGCCTTCCCTCTCCCGCTTCTGCTCCTAGAGTGAAAATGCTCACTCACCAGCAAGTCTATGCAGGAGCAGCGTTGTCCCTCAGCTTGTCTGATATTAATGAGACTGGCCTGTTGATATCTCCAGCGTGAGGACCATCCACAGAACAAGTGACATTAGCTCAGTAATTTTGAACCTGGTGATCCTGCCTTCCCTCCCGCTTTGGCTCCTAGAGTGACAACGCTCACTCACCAGCGAGTCTATACAGGAGCAGCGTTGTCCCACCTAGACAAGGGCTGCTCCATGGATGGTCCTCAAGCTGGAGATATCAACAGGCCAGTCTCATTAATAACAGACAAACTGAGTGACAACGCTCATTCACCAGCGAGTCTATACAGGATCAGCGTTGTCACTCAGCTTGTCTGTTATTAATGAGACTGGCCTGTTGATATCTCCAGCTTGAGGACCATCCATGGAGCAAGTGACATTAGCTCAGTAATACGCTGGTCTCATCATTGCTCATAGATGTGCTGTGCTGCAGTTGGACGCACTGGAAGCCAGCCCACAACGCCATGCATATTGCAATCATAGTAAATCAACAAAATGGAAATTTTGAAAAGCAGTTATAAAAGAAAGTGAAAAATATATGGGGATCCCTCAAAAGATAACATTGTTTCACTACAGAACTTTTTGCAAGAGGGTTTAGTTCTACTGTAAGAATAAAGGTTTACATTTGAATGTGTAGCTGAAGTTTAATGTTCATTAAAGCTATAATGTGCATTGTCACCACTTATGATTTGGTAAATTATTCATCCCAAATAAAACCACAACTTTTATTTAAAAAACAACATTAGTGTATGGCTAAACCCCCCCAAAAAAACACAAAAATGTAACATATGGTAGTATACCAATCCTTAAAGCCGTATTAAACCCAAAAGCAAACATTTATTTTATAGCAGCTTACCAATTAGATGTGATGGCTGCATTTGCTTTCTTTTTCAGGCTTTCTTTCTTTTTTTTTTTTCACTTGGTAGGTGTCATAAGGGGAGCAGTGGTCTGTTTGGAGGCTGCTAACCTGGATGACCTCAGCAGTCATCTTTCGAGGGTGTAGCTGGGTGTGCTACTGACTGCAGGAACCTCTCTCCTTTCACTTCCCTCTCCCCATCATTATTGTGCTGCAGCAGCTGCCTCTCACCCATGAATTCCCTGCTGTGTGAACAGAGTGGGGTCTGTGTGAAATTCCCCTGTCATGTACCTGATAGGAGACTGAAATGATGAGGTCAGCCTCACTTGTATCTCCAGCCCAGGCCCCTCCGGAAGTGGAACAGTGGGTACCGAGGGACAAGAGGAACACGAGTGCCAGCAGATGATGATAGGAGATCTTGCAGCAGGAGATGCAGTCCCAAGGAGACTAGCGGGCCATCTATTCAGGAATGGTAGCTGTGCTCAGGAATCCAGCCAGGGTTATAGGGGCACACTACTTACTCTGCAGGTTCAGGATGATTGGCTTGTCAAAGCCCCCCGCAGACTTGAGGCAGGAACGCTCAGTGGTGCACAGAGCCTGTACAGCAGACAGCCAGGCAGACACTCGAACAGGACAGGATGCCAAGATCAGAGACAGGAGCATGGTCACAGGAATATCCAGGGTCATCAAGAGGCAGGCAGCAAAGTACCAAATCATGAGCAGAGCCGAAGTCAGAAAGAGAGCCGGGTCAGAAACTGGCAACAAGTCAGGAGCAGAAGCCGAGATCAGGTCAGGAACAAGAGAATCATACAGGAACAACGCAGGACACAGGGAACAGCTGAACACCAGTCAGCACTGACAGTGAGCAAGAGCATCCTTTAAATAGCCTATCTGGTGCCAAAAACTATAGGTTTGCTCCCGCGTGAGTGCACACGTATGCATGCACTCCTGTGCGCATGCATAAGCCTATTTTTAGCAGCGATGCGTCTATGCACATTTCTATGAGCGCGTGTGCATATGTATGCGCCAGTCGCTATACTGGAATTACCTTACATTTAGCCATGCTTCTCACAGGAATTCTCTGACATCCCCCCCCCCCCCACCTGGCAATGCACTAGAGTCAATTATAAAGCAGAAGAGCTTGAGCCAATGGGAGCATGAGAGAGGAAACTTGCTGTGCAGCAGTAGATCATGGGACATGTAGTCCTAAAGGAGCACTGCTTCCGGTGCTTAGCAGAATGGAGGCTAATGGCTGCAGGAGTACAGGAACAAAATTCCCTGCATACAGAGGATGAGAGATACAGTGTTTTCCTAGCAAAACTAGCTGAGTTCAGGTAGACCAGCGTGGGGAGTGAACAGAGGCAGCCTGTGCTGGGGTCTGTGCCTTGCATCCCTGAGGACAGAGCTCACGAGGACTAGAGAGAGAGAGAGAGACTGAGCTACAGAGAAACTCAAGCTGGGGAGACCTGTTGCTGTGTGCCACCAACCTCAGGGTAGATCTGACTGTGAGGATCTGACCATGAGGGGCTGATCTTGTGGACTGAGACTTCTGGGGCAATTGATCGCTAAATGGACTGGACTTGATCTGTTGCATAAGGGGAGCAGTGAGCAGAACTATCAAGCTTAACACCTTGTTGCCCACAGTTAATGCTAACTGAGCTTGACCCTTATTTAACAGCCCATTCTTTATACAGTACAGTCTTAAAAGGATAGCTACATGTGCACCACTGACAGAAGGGCCTCAGCGAAAGCCAGCCAACAATGACAATTAAGCACAAGGTACTTTACAGTCAACTCCAGGGATACCCCTTGGCCAGTAACGTGTACACCCACCTATTCGAGCTACAGTATATGTATAGAGTGCACTCAGGAACATTGTTTGAGTATCCATTGCTAAGAAATACAGTGACGTTTCTTTTATGCCATTCATGATTTCACAGTTCATGCTATTTTTATGGATACTGTGTGGATTAGTATAATGAGGCTTAGCATTATTGTGGCGTAAGATAACGGCCGTAGGTGAGAATAACCTCCGCTCAGGTCATCTAACGTAGTCTGTTGTCCTGTTTAGTGGTTTTATGCATTGCGTTTGCTTATCCTTTAATAATACATTCATCTCATCAATCCTCAAGATGCTTGTGGACGGTTTTTCTTTGTACCATCAAAGAGTGGTAGAATATTTATGCTTAGGCTACAGAGGTGTGGGTAACCTATAACCAGGCGTGTCGGTGGGAACTGAGCGGGTTATAGATTCGTGGTAGAGAACAGAGGACCCATCACACCTATACTAATCATCGACCATGATTAGTCCTCTTCCACAAATTCTTATAACATGATTAACTCCTGGAAACT